TCCTTCTCCCAGGAGGCCCCCAAGCTCCTCATGGGGTCTCCTAGGACTCCTCACTTAGATGGAGATGGAGCAATGCCTACCTCTTCCTTCTCTAGGATGGGGTACCACAATTCTCCATACTCCTGTACCCCGTGTGTGTGTGTGTGTGTGTGTGTGTGTGTGTGTGTGTGTGTGTGGGTGGGTGGGTGTGTGTGCGCGCACGCGTGCACACAGGCACTGGGATTTGAACTCAGGGCCTCTCGCTCTCACTTGGCTTTTTTGCTCAAGGGGTGCTTTACCACTTGAGCCATAGCTCCACTTCTGGTTTTGTGGTGGTTCATTGGAGGTAAGAGTCTCACAGACTTTCCTGCTGGGCTGGCTTTGAACCACAACCCTCAGATCTCAGCTTCCTGAGTAGTTGGATTCTTGTCCAAAGCCTCTGCACCAGAATCACCAGCTGCTGGGAGGCTATCTGACCACCTCTAAGCCAACCCTAGACACATAATGGGCCCCCTCTCCCTACTTTTGAATGTGAGGGTGCCTGTCATCAACTGTCTGCACATTTGGGGTCCTTGATTGAAAAGGAAAGACCTAAAACCTCAGAGGGGACTGAAGTTGTGGGTCTGTAGTAGAACACTTGCCCAGCATGCATCCCTATCACTGCTTCTCAAAAAAAACCAAAACACTCAACAAAACCTTGAGATTCTTTGAATCTATTCTAAGATTATTCTAAGACTTTAGAGCAGTTCTGCCCTTAACCCAGAGATAACAAATTAAACTTTTTATTTGTTTATCCTGGGTCTTGAACTCAGGGCCTGGTGCTGTCCCTAAGCTTCTTTTGCTCAAGGCTAGTGCCCCATCACTTGAACCCCAGTTCATTGGACATAAAAACTTTCACAGGCCCAGCACTGGAAGCTCACACCTGTAATCCTAGGTACTCAGGAGGCTGAGATCTGAGGATCAGAGTTCCAAGCCAGCCCCAGCAGGAAAATCTGTGAGACACTTAGCTCCAGTTAACCACTTGAGTCCAAGCCCCACAACACACACACACACACACACACACACACACACACACACACAGTTTCATGGAATTTCCTGCATGGGCTAGCTGTGAAATCCTAAGATCTCAGCCTCTTGAGTAGCTAGGTGTGAGCCACCAGTTCCGGCTTCACAAACTATACTTATGTTGTATACCTAAAGAAAGAATTTTGAAGGTAAGACTTTTTACAAGACTACATGAGCACCAGATGTGGTGGTTCACATTCATAATCCTAATTACTCAGGAGCCTAAGATCTGGGAATCAGGGTTCAAAGCCAGAAGGAGCAGAAAGTCTGTGAGATTCTTTATCTCCAGTCAACCATCAAAAAGCCAGAAGTGGGCTGGGAATGAGGCTTAGTGGTAGAGTGCTTGCCTAATATGCATGAAGCCCTGAGTTTGATTCCTCAGTACCACATAAACAGAAAAAGCCAGAAGTGGCACTGTGGCTCAAGTGCTAGCCTTGAGCAAAAGAAGCTCAAGGACAGTGCCTAGGCCTGAGTTCAAGCCCCAGGACTGGGAGGAAAAATGAAAAAAAAAAAAGCCAGAAGTGGGCTTGTGAGTCAAGTGAAAAGAGTATCACAGCCATGAATGAAAAAGCTAAGGGACAGAGCCAGGCCTCGTGCTCGTGCATGCGGGGGGGGGGGCGGGCGGCGGCACACACACACACACACACACACACACACACACACACGTGCACGCACGCACACAAACTAGGAAGGTAAGACTTTTTACAAAGTACATGAACTCCTCTAATCAAACAGATCATAGCTAGTTTGCTATCTTTTAAGTTAAGGCTTCTGGGTTAGTCCAGGCTCTAGTTTCTTCTTCTGGAGACAAGCTGGTGTCCTGAGGGAGGAGAGGCCTGGGGGTGGGGAGCAGGTCCTAGGAGAGGAAGAGCTGCTGAGCGTAAATCCTCTCACTTGATCCTACCCAAAAGGCCGGGAAGCAATGTGAGCCCTCTCTGTCCAACTGCAGAAGGCGCAGGCCCTAGCCCCACTCACATAGGAGAGCTGGCAGCCATGGAGGTAGAGTCTAAAAGGCTGGACCAGGAGCCCTGGGAACCAGGAGGGCAAGTGGAGGAAGAGGATGAGGAAGAAGGGCCAACCCCTGCCTATCTGAGCCAGGCCACGGAGCTCATCACCCAGGCCCTCCGGGATGAGAAGGCAGGTGCCTACCCTGCGGCCCTCCAGGGCTACCGAGATGGCGTGCACGTCCTGCTTCAGGGAATGCCCAGTGAGTAAGGTCTGGAGGGTCAAGGGTCAGGTTTGGGATTGCTCAAGGATGCAAAGGGGAAGGATAAACAGAAAAGCAATGAAAGGATTAAGAGAAAAAAGCCTGTAATCCTAGCTAATCAGGAGGCTGAAATCTGAAGATCACAGTTCAAAGCCAGCCTGTGCAGGAAAGGTCATAAGACTTTTATCTCCAAATAACCGGCAAAAGGCCAAAAGTATAGCTGTGGCTAAAGTGGTAGAGTGTCAGCCTTCAGCAAAAAAAGCCAAGCAAAGGCACAAGTAGGGATTTGTCCCTCACTGATTGGAAGAGGGTTTTTTGTTTGTTTGTTTTGTTTTTCCCTTCAGTTGTGGGGTTTGAACTCAGGACGTGGGCACAGTCCAAGCCTTTTTGCTCAAGGCTACCACTTTGAACCACTTGGAACCACAGCTCTACTTGTTTTCTGGAGGTTAATTGGAGATAAGAGTCTCATGGACTTTACTGTCCAGGCTAGCTTTGAACCACATCCTCAGATTTCAGTCTCTTGAGTAGCTAGGATTACAGGCATGAGCCACCAGTGCCCAGTTGGAAGAATAATTTTTTTTTTTTCCCCAGTCATGGGGCCTGGGCACTGTCCCTCAGCTTCTTCAGCTCAAGGCCAGTGCTCTACCACTTAAGCCACAGAGCCACTTCTGGTTTTCTGGTGGTTTATTGGAGACAAAAGTCTCATGGACTTTACTGCCCTGGCTAGCTTTGAACTGTGATCCTCAGATCTAGCCTCCTGAGTAGCTAGAATTATAAGAGTGGGCCACCAGTGCCTGGCTGGAAGAATAATTTTAACCTGTGAAAGCCTCAGTTTTCTTATTTGTAAAATGGGAGGAGACAGGGCTGGGAAGGTGGCTCAGTGGTAGAGTGCTTGCCTTGCATGCATGAGGCCCTGGGTTTGATTCCTCAGCACCACATAAGCAGAAAAAAAAAAAGCCGGAAGTGGCGCTGTGGCTCAAATGGTAGAGTGCTAGCCTTGAGCTGAAGAGCTGAGGGACAGCGCCCAGGCCCAGAGTTCAGGCCCCACAACCGGACCCAAAATGGGAGGAGACAATAGGATCCAACTATAAGGGACCAGACCAAAGGCCAATCTTTCTCCACAGGTGACCCATCCACTGCCCGACGGGAAGGTGTAAAGAAGCGGGCTGCTGAATACCTAAAGCGGGCAGAGGAGATCCTTCAAGGGCACCTGTCCTAGATGCCACCCTGAGGGAGGGGTACTACCTGGAGAGCCAGCTCCAGCACTGCCAGCCTCCCTCTTGTCTCCCCAGAGCCTGGCCCAAATTACTGGTCTTTTAACCCCAGGGATTACGTATTTGTATGTAATTGGACTAAGGATGAAGAAGTAATGACTTCTCAGTTTCCAGCCTGCCTCACTGAAATCAGATACACACTTCTGATTCTGCCTGTCTCCATGTCCACGTTGTCAGCCACAGCTCTGGGCATAAACTATCACTCTACCCATCTGGAATGGGGGTCTGCAACCTGTAGCCTACAGCCAGATTTGGCCCACTGCCTTTTTTTGTTGTTAAGGTTCATGAGCTAGAATCGATTTTTACGTTTTGTAAAGGGTGAAAATAAAAAAAGAATCAAAAGAATAAGATTCTGTAGCAAGTGAAAAATAATACGAAATTTAAGTGTTATGAATAAAAATTTGTCAAAACACAACTAGGCTCATTCATATAATGTCTATAGCTGAGTTCTTGCATCACCATCAAGTAAGTACAAGCTGTGTACTTGGGTCCACCTAAATCACAAATTTCTGTATGGCTTTACTGAAACAGTGTGCTGACCCCTGCTGTAGGAGATGGGAAGAATCTGGAACAACCGAAAATGACAAGTTGATAAAAACCAGTTTTGACAAAGGGATGAATGAAACGTATTTCTCTCTCTCTCTTTTCCTTCTTTGCTTTTTTCTTTTCCTTTCTCCTTCCTTTCTTTTTTTTTTTTTTGTTGGTTGTGAGGCTTGATTGAACTCTGGGCTTGGGCACTGTCCCTCAGCTCTTTAGCTCAAGGTGAGCGCTCTACCACTTGGGCCACAGTACCACTTCCGGTTTTTTTATTGTTTATTGGAGATGAGTCTTGCGGACTTTCCTGCCTGAGTTGGCTTGGAACCTTGATCCTCAGATCTCAACCTCCTGAGTTGCTAGGATTACAGGCGTGAGTCACCAGTGCTTCCTATTTCATTTTTGCTGCCAGAGCTGGGGTTTGAACAAAGGGCCTGAGCTTTTTGCTCAAGGCTAGCATTCTGCCATTAGAGCGAGGGCTCCACTTCCCGCTTGGAGATAATGAAGCCTCGTGGACTTTTCTGCCCTGGCTGGCTTCTAACCGCGATCCTCAGATCTCAGCCTCCAGAGCAGTTCAAAGCCCAACAGTGAAGGCTCTGAGGACTGAAGCCCAACGGGAAGGCGTGGCGCCGTGCTGGCCCGCCCCCGCCGCCCAGCCATTGGCTGCGGGAAGGACTACAAACCGGTGCATCATGGGACTTCCCAGACCCACAGGGATTTGGTTTGGGTTTTCTGTACTGGTTCTAAGGTTTGGGCCCTGGGTCTGGGTGCTGTCTCTTAGCTTTGTTCAATCAAAGCTGGCGCGCTACCACTTGAGTCACAGCTCCACGTCCGGGCTGTTTTGATTAATTGGAGGTAAGAGTCACGGAGTTTGCTGCCCAGGCTGGTTTCCCAACGTGATCCTCGGATTTCAGCCTCCTGAATAGCTAGGATTACAGAAGTGAGCCACTCTACAACTCCAAGACCCTACGGGGTACTCGTACCTCGGAGCGCCGCGCACTAACGGAGACACGGATGGAGGCTGAGCGCGCGGAGCCCAGCTGCCAACGTCGGCCGCGGCGCAGTGCATCTCGGGAGCTCTACAGGACCCGGTGAGAGGGCAGTGCTTGTCCGGGCAGGAGGCGGGCACGCTGGAAGCCCGGCGTGGGGGCGGGTCCCGGTCGGTCAGGCCACGCCCCTAGCCCGGCCCCCGTCGGCCACGCCACGCCCCCTCACCAGCCCGCCACGCCCCTCTCTCCTGAGCCTGAGGGGCCGGGCTGCGGCTGCGGGCTGGCCGCGGCGGCCGGGCCGCGGGGTCCTCACCATGCTGAGCGCCCACCCTCTCCCCGCAGCCCACACATGCTCGACTGCGAGCCCCGGGTGGGCATGTGCCAGGACATGTGCCCGGCCGCCGAGCGCGCCCGGCGGGAAAGGGCTTCGAGATGGCGCCGGGGCGCCGCGGGGAACCGCCCCGCGCCGATCCGCAGCGCGCAGTGAAGGAGTACAGCCGCCCGGCCGCGGGCAAGCCCCGGCCCCCGCCCAGCCAGCTGCGCCCGCCCTCCGTGCTGCTGGCCACCGTGCGCTACCTGGCCGGCGAGGTGGCCGGGAGCGCCGACGCCCCCCGCGCCGAGGTGGCGGGCTTCGTGGCCGACCGCTTGCGCGCGGTGCGGTTGGACCTGACCCTGCAGGACGCGGGCGACGCCGAGGCCGCGGCGGTGCTGGAGGCCGCGCTGGCCACGCTGCTGGCCGTGGTGGCGCGGCTCGGGCCGGAGGAGGCGCGCGGACACGCGGACCCGGTGCTGCTGCAGACGCAGGTGCAGGAGGGCTTCGGGTCGCTGCGGCGCTGCTACGAGCGGGGCGCGGGCACGCACCCCCGCCAGGCCGCCTTCCAAGCTCTCTTCCTGCTCTATAACCTGGGTGAGTCGGGGGTCGCCGCGGCGCAAAGCCCTCCTTGGGGCGGGGACCCTCCTGGGGGACAGCGGAGGGAAAGGAAGGAGCTTTGAAGTCTCCGTGGTCCAGGCTGGGGGAAGGGGGGCGGAGGAGGTGTGGCTCGGCGGCGAAGCGCATGCGCCCCCCTTCCATTCCCAGAAACAAAATTCAGCTCACCATTAGGTTCCCCCAAAAGTTAGTGTAAAGCCGGCGCCGGTGGCCCACGCCTGTAATCCTAACTACTCAGGAGGCTGAGATCTGATGATCAAGGTTCAAATCCAGCCCCGGCAGAAAAATCTTAGACTGGAAAGGTGGCTTAGTGGTAGAGTGCTTGCCTGGCATGCCTGAGGCCCTGGGTTTGATTCCTCAGCACCACATAAGCAGAAAAAGCCAGAAATGGCTCCATGGCTCAAGTGGTAGAGCGCTAGCCTTGAGCTGAAGAGCTGAGGTTGGCCCAGGCCCAGAATTCAGGCCCCATGACCCACCAAATAAAAAAGAAAAATCTTATCTTCAGTGCAACACCCAAAAGCCATAACTGAAGTGGCTAGCAGTAACCTTGAAGAAAAGAGCTCAGGGACAGCATCCAGGGCTTCTGGAACACGCTTCCTTCACTTTTTCACTCGACCACTGGAGCCACAACTCCATTTTCAGCATTTTTGATGAAAAAATTAATTGGAGATAGAGTCTCTTGGATTTATCTGCCTGGGCTGGTTTCAAACTCAGATCTCAACCTCTGAGTAGCTCGGATTTCAGGCCTGAGCCACAGCTTACATCTCATTTCACAGACAAGCTTCCCTTCCCATTTCTGGGCTCCATTTTCTCAATAGTAAAAGTAAAAAAAGAGGGCTGGGAAGATGGCCCAGTGGTAGAGTGCTTACCTAGCATGCATGAAGCCCTGGGTTTCATTCCTCAGTACCACATACACAGAAAAAGCCAGAGTGGTCCTATGGCTCAATACAGTTTTAAACAAAATCAGCAGCTGGGAATGTGGCCTAGTGATAGAGTGCTTGCCTAGCATACATGAAGTTCCAGGTTCAATTTCTCAGTACCACATACACAGAAAAGGGCTAGAAGTGGGGCTGTGGCTAAGGTGGTAGAGCGCTAGCCTTGAGCTGAAGAACTCAGGGACAGCACCCAGGCCCAGAGTTCAAGTCCTACAACCGACAAAAAATAAAAATAAAAATCAGAACTCAGAGTCTTGTACTTGCTAGGGCAGGTGTTGGACCACTTGAACCATACCTTCAGTCTTTTGGGTTGGGCTGTAGCTCAGTTGGCAAGGTACTTGCCTAGCAAGTACAATGTCCTGGGTTTGATCGCTAGTACCAAAAAGAAAAGGGCTGGGATGTAACTCAGTGGCAAAGCTCTTGCCTAGCAAGTGCAACGTCTTGGGTTCGATCCCCAGTACCAAAAAAAAAGAAAAGACAAAAAATAAATACAGTTAAAAAAAACAAACAAGGGCTGGGAAGGTGGCTCAGTGGTAGAGTGCTTACCTTGCATGCATGAGACCCTGGGTTCAATTCCTCAGCACCACATAAGCAGAAAAAGCCGGAAGTGGGGCTGAGGCTCAAGTGGTAGAGTGCTAGTCAACAGCTGAAGAAGAACTGAGGGACAGCACCCAGGCCCAGAGTTCAAGCCCCATGACCGACAACAAAAACAACAACAAAAAAAGAAAAAAGAAAAAGAAAGAAATTAAGACAACAACAAAAAATACAATTTAAAAAAAGAAGCTCAGGCTGGGAATATGGCGTAGTGGTAGAGTGTTTGTCTAGCATGCATGAGCCCTGAGTTCGATTCCTCAGTACCACATACACAGAAAAAGTTGGAAGTGGCACTGTTGCTCAAGTGGTAGAGTGCTAACCTTGAGCAAAAGAAGCTCAGGGACAACGCCCATGCCCTGAGTTCAAGACCTAGGACTGGCAAAAAGAAAAGGGAAAAGCCGGGCGCCAGTGGCTCATGCCTGTAATCCTAACTACTCAGGAGGCTGGGATCTGAGGATCGAGGTTCAAAGGCAGCCTGGGCAGGAAAGTCCATGAGATTCATCTCCAGTTAACCACCAGAAAACAGACCTGGCTGTGGTTCAGGTGGTGGGGCACTCACCTTGCACTGAAGAGCTCAGGGACAGACCCAGACCCAGAGTTCAAGCCCCAGGACCATCAAAAAAGAAAAAAAGAAAGAAAGAAAGAGTAATGTGAACAAAAGGGCTGAGAGCATAGCCCAATGGGTAGAGTGCTTGCCTAGTATTCTCTAGGGTCTGGAATCAATCTCTAGGAAAAAGAAAAAAACACACTTTTAAGACTTGAGCAGGGCTGGGAAGTTGGCTCAGTGGTAGAGTGCTTGCCTTGCATGCCTGAGACCCTGGGTTCGATTCCTCAGCACCACATAAGCAAAGAGAAAAAAAGCCGGAAGTGGCGCTGTGGCTCAAGTGTAGAGCGCTAGCCTTGAGCTGAAGAGCTGAGGGACAGCGCCCAGGCCCAGAGTTCAGGCCCCACAACCGGACCCAAAAAAAAAAAAGACTTGAGCACCTTTCTAGCACCTTTCTTTGAATGATACATTTTATTTATTTTTGGGGGGTCCACCTTCCCAGCCCAGAATGATACATTTTAGTAAATCCTATTTAATTATAATAAAATGCTGTTGACTTCACAACTGAATGAGTCAGAAGCCTCCATTCTTAAAAATGTCCAAAGGCTCTAGTATCGTGATTTCCTGGAAGGGAATTAGGGACGGAGTCACCTCAGAGTCACTTCCCATGTGATCGGGGGACAGGGAGGCAGAGTCATCCCTGTAAACAGGTGCGGGGCAGCCAGGACAGTGGGAAACCTCTAGGCAGTCACTAAACTATCTGGGTCTGTGTACCCCTCAGAAACCACTGCCCATGTCTTCCCTATTACAAGACCTAGACAGAGGGAGTTGAGATCTTGTGGCACCTGACCAAGCTGTGGATGAGGGATTTGCCTGGTGGTCAGATCTGTCTTGGAGAGAGGCATGGCTGTGAGTGGGTCAGGCAGGTTACCTGAGTGGGCAGGTGACCAAGGTCAGGAGATGAGCTTGACTGAAAGTCAGGAGGTGGGACTGGCTGAGACTGGAAGTGGGAGTGGGTGGAACCCAGGATGATGGATGGGAAGCGGGGCCTACCCGGAGAAGGACCAGGCATCCTCATCCCGCCTTTCTACCCCTGCAGGTTCCACGGAGGCTCTGCGTGAGGTTCTGCAGCTGCCCGCCTCCCTGCGCGCCTGCGCGCCCCTGCGCAGGGCCCTGGCAGTTGACGCTGCCTTCCGCGAGGGCAACGCCGCCCGCCTGTTTCGCCTGCTGCGAACTCTGCCCTACCTGCAGAGCTGCGCGGTGCAGGGCCACGTGGGCCGCGCCCGCCGAGAAGCCCTGGCCCGCTTTGCTCGTGCCTTAAGCACCCCCAAAGGGCAGGCATTGCCACTGGACTTCATGGTCCACCTGCTGGCCTTGGATGGTGCTCACGAAGCCCGGGACCTGTGCCAGGCCCATGGACTGCCCTTAGACGGAGAAGAAAGAGTTGTGTTCCTGAGAGGCCGCTATGCCGAGGAAGGGCTGCCTCCGGCCGGTACCTGCCAGGTGTTAGTGGAGAGCAAGCTCAGAGGACGCACCCTGGAGGATGTGGTCATGGCAGAGGAGGAGGAGGCTGTGCACAGACCCGGGCCCCCCACGTGAGGGGCCGTGCAGTCTCTCACAGCCTTCGTGTTTCCTTGTTATTCCCACATAATAAAATGAACTGTTTTTATAAGGTTGCTAGACTTCCTTTATTTGGGGGTGTGAGGAAAGACTGACTGCACAGGGGCCTGTCCTCAGTGTGACTTTGATTCCAAGAAGTGGCGAGAGAGAGAGACAGACAGAGAGAGAGAGAGACTGCCCCTGTCTTCAGGTGTCTGATTGGCAGCGTGTGCTCGGGTGCTTCAGAGGATCCCCTGGTTGCATGACTCCGGGCCTCCACTCCAGGAAACCCAGGTGAGAGGCGGAAGATGAAGGAAGCATTGCAGACGCAGCTGGCATCAGAGATCAGCCACGGGCCTCAGGGTGGCCGCTGCCCCCTCCAGAGCCATCACCACAACACTGAGCTGCCTCTGCACCTCAGCCCACGCTTCAGATCCCGGGCTTGTACCCTCGGCCCTGGAGCAGGCATTGGCCAGGCCTGGGAATGTGGCCACCGAGCTGGTGCGGGGCGCCCAGAGCACGTGACTGACAAGAAGGCATAGGATGAAGGTTAGTGAGGAACTGAGCCTGGACCTCACTCAGCTGCTGTAAACAGGCATTAAAGCCCCCATCTGTAAAATGGAAGCTTATTGCGATGGGGTCACTCATGTTCCTGTCTCTGGGACATGAGTTGATCTACGCTGCCCAGTAGGTGGCCATTATGCTGCCCCACCTTGGCACCTCCCAGGACTTGGGATCTGGCTCACCTGTAGTACTGCTCCTCTGGGAATGCCCGGGGGTTCAGGAAGGCCCTTTCCAAGAGCATCAGCTGGTCATTGACTGTCCGGACCTGCAGGGAGCTAGAGGAGACAAGACCTAAGCCTGCAGCCAGAAGCCTGCCGCCAGCCTGACATCTGTTTGTTTTTATGGGGGGCGGTCATGGGGCTTGAATTCTGGGCTTGGGCACTGTCCCTGTGCTCTTCAGTTCAAGGTTAGCGCTCTACCACTTGAGCCACGGTGCCACTTCTAGTTTTCTGGAGATAAGCCCGGACTGGCTTTGAACCTCGATCCTCAGCTCTCAGCCTCCTGAGTAGCTAGGATTACAGGCGTGAGGCATGGGCACCCAGCCAGCCTGACATCTTGCCCGCAGGTCCTCATGGTCGCCCACTGCCCTTGCTCACTCTGGGCTGCTGCTCTGAAGCGTTGTTATGTGTTGGATCAAGGCTGCGGCTGCTTTCTCAAACTTCTCCACTGCCGTCACCAGAGGCCCTGTGAGGAAACAGCCAGTGGCTTAGTCCTGGGGGTTCAGGGCTCCCCAGGCCCTGTGTCAGGAGGAATCAGTACCCAGATTGATGTTGTGCTGCTGCAACTGGGCCCCCAGGTGGTCCTGGGCCGCCTGCAGGAAGCTGCGGAGAGTCTCGCTGTAGTCACTGACGTTGAGTGGCAAGAAGAAGCTGTCACTGAGCCGGAGAAGCACGCTCCCCGCTGTCCGCGCCACAGCTTGGTGGCTGCTGAAGCCTGCAGGAAAATGACAAGGCCAGGGCTGGGTCTGCAGCCCATCCTCCCTCAGCCCATCTCAGGATGCCCCTTGTCCCTCTTCTCACCGGGATCCACAAACTTCTCCACATACTCAAAGGTGTCGAAGGCCGTGTGGTAGGTGGGGTAGATGCGGGCTGAGGTCTTGCTCTAGGGGAACAGGGCATGGGAAATGGGTGCAGCTGCAGTGAACCACTCTGTGTAGGCATTTTCTCGTGAGGTAGATTCTAGGATTTTCAGTTTATATCACTTCTTGGCCTTTGAGTAAGATCATGTGTAAAATTTCTCCTTTCTCTTTTCTTGTTCTTTCTTGTGTGTGGGTGTGTGTGCCCGCGCGCGCACGCGCGCCAGTACTGGGGCTTAAACTCAAGATCTAGGTGTTTTTTTCACTCAAGGCTGGTGCTCTACTACTTGAGCCACAGTTCCATTTCCAGATTTTTTTCTGGTTAATGGGACATAATCTCACAGACTTCCCTGCCCACCCTGGCTTTGAACCTTGGTCCTCAGATTGCAGCCTCCTGAGGAGAAACCCGAGGCTCAGAAGGACTTACTTGCCTGACCAGCATAAGAGAAGAGCTAGACCAGTGCTAATTTCCAGTTTCACAGGAAGGATCAGCATGAGGCTTTGGAGGCCGATAAAGGCCTCCAATCTCAGCTCCTCCTGTACAAGCAGAAGGTGTTTGGGTACCAATCAGGGAGGGCAGGCTGTGCAATCCACAGCCCTGGTCTACTTGCATTCTTTATGCTGAAACAAACCACCCACCCTACATATCAAGATCTCAGTACCTCTTTCAGTCAGTATCATCTACAATTGATTGGCAGTGAGGTTTGCCTTAAATAATGCAAAACCGGATCTACATCTTATAATCAGCAGTATTTGTCATGAGGTAATAAATAGACACACACAGAAGGTAAACTTGCCCCAGGCTGCACAGCTACCAAGCAAAAGAGCCAGATCCAGTCTGTACTACAGCACTTGGCAGGATGTTGAAGCTGGCGGAGCACTCTAGGGGAAGGGCGGTTAGGGCAGATCAGGGTGCCTGCTTACCTTGTCGTAGGTGTAGGCCAGGTCCATGGAGGAGATGCCAAGGAAGTGAATGAAGGGTGCATAGTCACTGCCGGCACCCAGAGTGCCCATGCTGCGGACAGGAAGAGGGCGATGCTAGAGGCTGCGGAGCAGGCCCACCAGCACCAGGCCCCGGTCCAGTCCCTGGCTCACCTGGGGATCAGGCCGTACACGGGACTGCTGCGGTTGGAGTACCGGATCCAGTTGTCATAAATACTGAGCCCGCTGGGACCTGGTGCGCCAATCTATGGCGCAGGGACATGGAGTCTAGGACTGCCCACTCTCCAGACCCGGGCTTCTAGGCCCCCCCCCTCCTGTACCTCTTTGGCTGCAGAGAAGATGACACTCTGTACCGGGGGCGTCCCCTGCGCCCGGAGGGTGGCATTGGCTGTGGGGGGAGCAGGGGAGGACTGTTTGCACCTGGATCCTGTCCCCTTTCTTCCCCCACCTCCCTCCTGGCGCCTGCCCCCTACCAAACACGGAGATGTCCACGTTGAGGTAGGCCACCGCCCGTTCCTGCAGCTTGCTGAAGAACTCCTGCGGGGTGTGGGGTGTGGGGTGGGGTGACCTCAGACCCGGCCAGCCCCACCCCAGAGCCCCGTTCCTGCCCCGACCTGTGGGACTTGCTTACCTCAGTGAATTCTGTGGAGCCAATGAGCCCAAACTCCTCTGCCCCCCAACTGGCAAATATGATGGACCTGCGGGGCCGCCAGGTGCCTGGTGGGGGGCCAGGAAGGGTTGGAAGGTGGGATACCCAGAAAGGTTAGGAACATGGGAAGGAGGGCAGCTCTGACAGGAGGGCAGCCTTCGCCAGGCCTTCCAGGCGGTTTTGTTCTCTGAGACAGCCCACCCCAACACCAGATCCCACCCCACCCCCACCCCAACACCAGACCCCACCCCACCCCCACAGTGGTCACTTCCTCCAGATGCCAGCTTCTTTTCCATAAACATGATTATAAAAAATTAAAATTAAAAAAAGCCAGGCACCGGTGGCTCACGCCTGTAATCCTAGCTACTCAGGAGGATCATGGTTCAAAGCCAACCTGGGCTGGAAAGTCCGTGAGACTCATCTGCAAAGAACTACCAGAAAACTGAAAGTGGCTCTGTGGCTCAAGTGATAGAGCATTTGTCTTGAGCTGAAGAGATCAGGGACACACCCAGGCCCAAAGTTCCTAGCTACTCAGGAGACTGAGATCTGAGGATCATGGTTGGAAGCCAGCCACAGCAGGAAAGTCTATGAGATTCTTACCTCCAATTTATCACCCCAAAAGCCAGAAGTGGACGTATGACAAGTGGTAGAGCACCAGCCTTGAGCAAAACAACTCAGAGACAGTGACCATGCTCTGAGTTCAAGTACCAGAAGAGCGTATACACACACACACACACACACACACACACACACACAGAATAAGAATGGGGGGGAAAGGAGTGGGGCTGAGTCTTTGCACTAGAGAAGGGGGCAGCTCACCCTTCTTCAGCAGTGTCCCCAGAACGCGAGTGATCTCCAGGAGTACGGCGGTGCCACTGCTGGGGTCCACAGCACCATGGATCCAGCTGTCCCGATGGTTTCCATAGATGACGTAGCGGTCTGGCAGGAAGAAGAATCAGAGCCCAGAGTGGAGGGAAGTAGGGGGTGAGTGGGCTGCAGAGGGCTGGGTGATGGCTCGGGGCATGGATGGGCTCCAGACTCTGCACATGGGGGCTCACCAGGCTCCACAGCCCCACGGATGATCCCTAGGACGTTGGAGGAATTCCTCAGCACCAGGCGATTGTGGACACTCAGTTTTACCATGCTGAGGAGGTGATGGGAGGAACAATAGTCTTGGCCCTGTTCAGTGTCCCTCTACTCAGCAGGACAAGCTGAGGTCCAGGGAGGGAAGGGGTCAAGGCCAAGTCACAGAGAGGGTCCAGGCCCAGCCCTTGGGACTGGAGTCCTCTCTTTTGCCCATTCACTAAGTATATATCAGGTATTTTGTGTACATGCAAGTACCCTAGTCTTACTAGCCTCTGCCCAGTGAGACAGACAGGACCAAAGAGGGTGAGGGGGAACTCCCCCTTCTGAGCAATAGAGCACAAGCAAGTGAACAAGGCCTTGGGAGAGGGCAGAGCCCTTGGGGCCAAGGAGGCTACAGGCAGGGAGGCTGACACCAGCCAGGAGTGGTTGAGGCCCTGATGTGGAAGCCATCTTGGTAAGATGTGGCCACAATGTGAGAGGGGCAGGGAATTCCCAGCTTCTCCTAAACACGACACATATTTTGGGGACCAAGGAAGGGCTGGAAGAGAGAAAGAGATAAGACTAGGCCTTGGGGTGGGAAGACAAAAAAGGTAGGTAGGAGGCTGGGAAGGTGGCTCAGTGGTAGAGTGCTTGCCTAGCATGCATGAAGCCCTGGATTTGATCCTCAGCACCACATACACAGAAAAAGCTGGAAGTGGCGCTGTGGCTCAATTGGTAGAGCTCTAGCCTTGAGCACAGAGAGGCTCAGGGATAGAACCCAGTCTGTGAACCCCAGGACTGGGGGGGGGGAAGAGGGGAGGGGAGGAAAGATTGGAAAATAAGACATGAATGGAAGTGGAGGTATGGCTTACATGGTAGAGTGCCAGCCTCAAGAGAAAAAGCTAAACAAGAACATAAAACCTTGAGTTTAAGCCCCAGCACCAGCATTTTTTTAAACTGAATAGCCCACTCCCCACCCCATCCCCTTTTACCCCACCCCACCGCACTCACCTGCCTGCCGGGAGGCCTCCATTTGTGGAGAAGCCAGGCCCCAGTTTGTAGTCACAGCCCAGCGCCCCCTGCCAGGAGTCTGGAGCCGAGGGTCCACTGAGGTTACTGGGAAGGAGAGAGCAGTCCCTCAGTGCACGGGCTGGGTGGCCCCATGGGCAGGGCCCAGGGCACAGGCTCACCAGAGCAGCTCTTTCGCATCTTGGAAGCCAATGGGCTGGGCAGGAATTGGGGGAAATCCAGAGGTGTTGTTAGGATCCAGGCGGAAAGAAGCAGGATGGGCTGGTAGGTACGGAGTCAGAGGGTCCCCAAAATATTTGTAGTAGGAGCCTCGTTCCACGCCAGAGGGAGGTAGGCCCCAGGAGTTTGGGAAGGTCTCACTGGGCAAGCTCTTCCCATCGTTGATGTCGGCAGGGTCCGTGTACACCAGCACCCCAACCACACCATGTTTGGCTGCATTCTCTGCCTGCAGCAGCAGAGAAGGGGTGAGTGCCCTCCTTCCCACCCTCCCTTCCTCCTTTCCTCTTTCCTTCCCTTCTCTCTCCCTCCCTTCCTCCTTCCCTCCCTCCTTCCCTTCTCCCTTCCCTCCCTCCCTCTTTCCTTCCTCCCCTCCCTGTTCTTCCTCCCTTCCTCTCTCCCTTTCCTTCCTCCCTCTCTCCCTTTCCTTCCTCCCTCTCTCCCTTCCTCCTCCCCTTCCTCCCTCCTTCCTTCCCCCTTCCTTTTCTTCTTCCTCCCTTCCTTCCTCTCTCCCTACCATTTTCCTTCCCCCTCCCTCCTTCCTTCCTCCCCTTCCTTTTCTCCTTCCTCTCTCCCTATATTTTTAATTCCTACCTCCTTCCCTCCCTCCCTCCCTCTCTCCCTCCCTCCCTCCTTCTCTTCCTTCCTTCCTTTCTTCCTTCCTTCCCTGAGTAAAAGCTGGGACTCCATCTTCCCATGGGCAAGAAGAGGTTTATGTGAAGCATTTATGGCAGCGCTCCTTGCAGCAGCGAGCAGTGTCGGGTGGGGAATCTGTTTTGGTTTGTTGCTTGTCTGCTTCAGCGCTGCCCCAGGAGTTCAGGTTTAAAGTCTCAATATGGCTCGCCTCACCTGCCCCAAGCCTGGAGCTTGGCTCCCCAAGCAGCTCTGCTGTCTCCCTTCCCCTCCCTGTGTGTATGTCTGTCCATAGATGCCCTTCCCCCTCACCCTGTACTGCTCACCTTGGCCCCACGCCCAGCGCCCCCATAGCGTGTCAGGGCGATGGTGCCTTGGAGTGTGATGCCTCGTGCCTGCAGCTCCTTGAAGTCCTCTTCTGTGCCTTGGTTGGCATAGACGAGGAGGCCCTAGTGCCAAGAGGAGGGATTCCTGGGGCTGGGTTTAACCAAGGGCAGGGGGAGGAGGGACAGGAAGGCTGGAGGGAAGAAAGCTGGGCTGAAATAGGAGAGCTGAGCTCTGGCAGCATGGGGACGGGGCCTAGCCCCACCTTTGGGGTTCCAGGAGGAGCATAGGCTGCATAGGGTTGCACCACGTTAGGTCCTGCTTGCTCCCCGGTCACGTTCTCCTCACTGGGTTGGAAGGAGTGGAGGACGGTCTCATTGGAGTCCACTGTGGAGGGACCCCAGAGTCAGCAGCTCCCCTCAGCACCCCGACCTTCCCAGCCCGAGCAGGACCTCACCAAGTTCCACAAGGTTGGGCTGCTCCTGGTTGGGGAAGGACAGTAGCACCTCGTATGTGGAAGTCACAGCTGAATCAAGGCCGGAGAGCTGATCCTTCCAGCGCTGCAGAATGAACTCCACAAGGGCCTCGTCTCGGGGGCTGGAGGCCAGGTGCGGCTCCTTGGAGAGTTCTCTGCAGGGCAGGGAGGAAGAGGAGCAGGGCGAGGGTGAGGGAGGGGCCTCTAGCCCACAGGGGGAGGGGGCACAGCTGCCTCTCTCACCGAAGGTTCTCCCGTATCTTGCTGGCATCCAGCTGTGCAAGCACAGTTTTAAGGATCTCCTGGTCCAGGTCCTGGGGGTCTGGTGGGTCAGCGGCTTTGGGGATGGCAAAGTGGCCCAGGATGATCCCCAGAGCCAAGATGGCGGCAGCCCCCACTGCCGACCCTACTACCTTCGCCCAGTGCATCCTGGAGACTTGGCCAGCTGGGTGCCTCTAGTTGGGCCTCTTAAAGAAGGGGTGTTAGCTTAGTTAACCATTACCCAGCAGGTAAGGGGTTGCCCTTTTGCCCCAACAGCAGAAAAGTGAGGGGGACATCCCACAGTGCCAGCAATTGTCACACGAACCATATTCTGCACCAATCACTTGAAAGGGACTTCTGAGGCACCAGCACAATGGGGACATCCAGGCCCAGGAAGAGAAGGATCTCAGCCAGGGCCTCCCCATCAAAGAGAGGCCACACCAAGCTTGGGACTAGGAGCTCCCATGTCCAGTGTGAGGCCCTGCTGACTACCTCTGTCACTGCCTATGTCTGGCTTGGTGTCACTCAGTGTCTGGCACAGCCAGCCCTGCCTGCTTGAGCAGCCAAGTCTGATTCTGTGAGCCAGGCACTGGTGGCTCACTTCTCTAATTCTAAGTACTCAGGAGGCTGAGATCTGAAGATCATACTTCGAAGACAGCCTAGGCAGGAAAGCCCATGACACTCTTATCTCCAATGAACCACCAAAAAGCCAGAAGTGGATGTGGCTCAAGTGGTAGAGCATCAGCCTTGAATAAAAAAGCTGAGACAGGGGCTGGGAAGGTGGCTCAGTGGTAGAGCGCTTGCCTTGCATGCCCGAGGCCCTGGGTTCGATTCCTCAGCACCACATAAGCAAAAAGAAAAAAATCCGGAAGTGGAGCTGTGGCTCAAGTGGTAGAGTGCTAGCCTTGAGCTGAAGAGCTGAGGGACAGCGCCCAGGCCCAGAGTTCAGGCCCCACGACCGGACCCAAAAAAAAAAAAAAAAGCTGAGACAGTGCCCTGGCCCAAAGGTCAAGTCCCTGTACTAGCACACACACCCAAAAATACAATCAGCTGGGTGCCAGTGGCTTATGCCTATAATCCTAGTTACTCAGAGGCTGAGATCTGAGGATCATGGTTCAAAGCCAGCCCAGGAAAGTCCATGAGATTCTTTTTTTTTTTGGTCCATCGTAGGGCCTGAACTCAAGGCCTGGGCGCTATCCCTCAGCTCTTCAGCTCAAGGCTAGTGCTTTACCACTTGAGCTTTACCACAGCATCACTTCCGGCTTTTTCTGCTTTTTCTGTGGTGCTGCGGAATCAAACCCAGGGCCTCATGAATGCAAGGCAAGCACTCTACCACTGAGCCACCTTCCCAGCCCCCATGAGACTCTTATCTCCAATTAACCACCACAAAACTGGAAGTGATGCTGTGGCTCAAGTGGTAGAGTGCTCACCTTGAGCTGAAGAGCTCAAGGACAGTGCTTAGACCGAGAGTTCAAGCCCCACAACCAATATAAATACAATCAGACGTTGCATGACAGAAGCTGTATGACCTTGGACAAACCACGCAGCTTCTCAGAAAATGGGGATGATAGGACCTAGTTCACAAAATTGGGATGTTGTCTGCATTCATATTTATATAATAAATATTAAGCAAAAGAGAATCTGTAGAAATAGCCTGGTGTATGGTGTGCATGGAACTCAGTAAAATGTAACTTGCCCTCCCCACCCTGAAATTCCTGGAGCATAAACCTTAGAGTTAAAGGAAGAACAAAGATCTAAAGAATGTTCTGGCCAGGCATTGGTGGCTCACACCTGTAATCCTAGCTATTCAGGAGGCTGAGATCTAGGGATCATGGTTCAAAGCCAGCCCAGGCAGGAAAGTCTTTGAGACTTTTATCTGCAATAAACCACTCAGAAAACCAGAAGTGGTGCTGTGGCTCAAGTGATGGAGCGCTCATCCTTGAGCTGAAGAGGGACAGTGCCCAGGCCCAGAGTTCAAGCCCTACAAAAAATATTCTGGTTCTGTTGTGAAGAGTTCCAGCTTATGGGAGGAAATGGAGAGGAGGGGCTCTGTGGGCATTTCTGAGGCTAAATCAGTAAACCCATATCCAAAGGTGACTTTGTCCTCCATCTCCTGGCTCCATGAGGAATTCATCCATGCATCCACCTGTCCCTTTACCCTCTTCCCTCTCTTCTTCCCTCTCTCCCTCCCACCACCTTCTGTCCCTCTTTTATTCACTCTTTCACTGTGTATGCGTATGTTTATTTAGCCATGCTAGGTCTGTGCCCGGCAAGGGGGTAACAGAGTCCAGCAGAGGCAGGCAGGGAGTTATCAGCTCTATCTTGAGTATGGCCTTGGACCTTATCAGAAGCCCATCTGTAGGGAGCACACACCTGCTCACGAAGACAAGGATGGTCTCTTGCTCATGATAACAGGATGGTTGCCCAGGTCACCTGATAAGGTGAGAAGAGGACACTAGAGGCAGCAGCTCCACCCTCTCCTGGGAGAACTAAGTCCTTTGAACACCTGGACACGTGTGTAAGCCGCCTGAGCGGGTCACTGTGCTGTTAAGGGTGGTTTGCATTTGAGAATGTTTGAAGCCTAGCATGCGTGAAGCCCTGGGATGAATTCCTTAGTACCACATAAACAGAACAAGCTGGTGCTGTGGCTCAAGTAGTAGAATGCTAGATTTGAGCACAGAGAGACTCAGGGACAGTGCGTAGGCCCTGAGTTCAAGCTCCAGGATGTGGGGGGTGGGGGGAGGGCAATGTATGAATGTCTGTCTAGGTGACACTCCAGAACTTGTCCTAGACTGCCAAGCGCTGGTGGCCTATGCCTGTGACATCTGAGAATCACTATTCCAAGCCAGCCCACCCAGATAAGAAAGTGTGTGACATCAAAAAGCTGGAAGTGGAGGTATGGCTCAAGTGGGAGAGAACCAGCCTTGAGTGAAAAAGCCAAGCAAGAGTTGAGACCCAGAGTTGAAGCTTCAGCACCAGCACCAAAACAAAAAAAGATAGGTAGAAGGAAAAAGAAAGAATGAGAGAGAGAGAGAGAGAGGGAAAGGAAGTAAGAAAGAAATGAAAAGAAAAGAAAGAGAAAGAAGGAGAAAAAAGAAAAAATCTGCCATGAACTTGGGTCACTTCCTTCTCCCACATTGACTGGGTAGAATGTATGGGGCCTCTCTGAATATTCTAGAATGTGATTGTTAATGGAAACCACCTCATTTAGCTAAAGCCTATAAGCATCCAGTCTTTCCACCTTCTTCCCACGGCGGCTGGCTCCCAGGACCCATTCCCATTGCTTTCCACTTCTTTCCCTTCTGGCCCACTGTGTGGCCCTCCCCTCCAGTACAACACCTCCTCTCCACCTGACTACCAATCTACTTCCTGTGTTATCACGGCTAGAGAAGTCACAGGAAAATTCCATACTCCAGCTCCTGGCGCTAGCTCATCTCCTTGGCTTTGCTCTACCCTGGGCACACAGTTCAACCCCTTTGATCATTTTCCACATCACTCAGGGCCTGTGTGGTGTCTCTGAGGGTTGTTTTGTTTCATTTGTCTTTTGGTTTGAACGTAGGGCCTAGGCACTGGTTCCTGAGCTTCTTTTGCTCAAGGCTAGCACACTATGGAGCATAGCTCCACTTCCAGCTTTTTCTGAAGAGTTTATTGGAGATAAGAGTCTCAATGGAAACCGGCGCCAGTGGCTCACACCTGTAATCCTAGATACTCAGGAGGCTGAGATCTCCGGATCATGGTTCAAAGCCAGCCTAGGCAGGAAAGTCTATGACTCATCTCCAGTTAACCACCAGAAGAAAACCAGAAGTGGCACTGTGGCTCAGGTGGTAGAGTGCTCTCCTTCAACTGAAGAGCTGAAGGATAGTGCCCAGGCCCAGAGTTCAAGCCCCACGACCTATAAAAAAAAAAAAAGTCTCATGGACTTTCCTGCCTGGGCTGGCTTTGAACCACAATCCTCAGATCTCAGCCCCCTGTGTAGCTAGGATTACAGGTGTGAGCCACCAGTGCCTGGCTTTCTTTTCCTTCTTTCATGTGTGTGTGGTGGGGGGGAAGGTGTTTATGTGTGCTAGTCTTGGGGCTTGAACTCAGGACCTTGGCACTCTGTTCTTGAGCTTTTAAGTGCTCAAGGCTAGTGTTCTACCACTTGAGCCACAGCTCTACTTGTAATTTTTTGGTGATTAAATGGATAAAGAGTCTCAGGCTTTCCTGCTGGGGCTGGCTTGGAACCGTGATCCTCAGATTTCAGACCCTTGAGTGGCTAGGATTACAGGTGAGAGCCACTAGTGCCTGGCTTTTTCTGAGACAGGGTTTCTCTGGCCTCCAGGTCAGCCTTCCCAGTGCTGGGATTACAGGTATGCTCCACCTCTCAAGCTCTGCTTTTGCTAGTGCTCCAGCACTTAAGCCGGCCCTCCAGATCTTTGCTTTTTTTTTTTTTTTTTTCTTCCTAGATAGGATTTCACCTTTTTTCCCTGGCTGGACTCAGACTGAAGTCCTCCTCCAAATAACAGTGAATATAGATGTGAGTCACTATACCGTACTTGTCTGTTGAGCTAGGTCTTTTCTTTTTGCCCAGGGTTGGTCTCCAACTTTGATCCTCCAATTACTCCCTGCTTCCTGAGTAGCTGGGATCACAAGATTGAGCCATGACTCCCAGCTCTCCTCTTCCCCTTTGCCTCCCTATTTTCCTTGCTCACCTCTCCAGCCTCTCAGGCCTCCAATGATTTCCTGAACCTTCCAGGTACCTCCTGACCCAGTACCTTTGTATCTGTTGTTTGTGCTTCTGGGGGCCCCGCCCCCTCCTCCAGGCCCCTCACGTGTTTATTCAAGCGTCACTTCTCAAGGCGCTCTTCTGTCCTGGCCACCCCGCAGTTGCCTTTCTTCCTGTCCCTCCGACATCACCAGACTTGCTTCCCCCACTGTGGGGAACACAGTCCCAAGAACGCAGGGGTGCTCGTTTTTTGTTTTTTTTTTTGTTGTCGGCCATGGGGCTTGAACTCTGGGCCTGGGCGCTGTCCCTCAGCTCTGCAGCTCAAGGCGAGCGCTCTACCACTTGAGCCACAGCGCCACTTCTGGTTTTCTGGTGGTTTACTGGAGATAAGAGTCTCACAGACTTTTCTGCCCAGGCTGGCTTTGAACTGCAGTCCTCAGAAATCAGCCTTACAGGTATGAG